TCTGATAGGGGCTCCTTTATGGGTTATTCTCTCTTTTTTTCTTACTTCCCTGAGTATTCTTTCCTTATCTTTCCTTTTTGCCAACTTTGCTACTATGTGCCGTGGGGTAGCTCTTTTTACATTGACAAATCTAGGAGATCTAAAACCCTCCTCTACACACATTTCTCCGTTTATCCCTAGATTTGGGAAGTTCTCTTCAATAATTTCGTTAAGCACACTTTCTGCTCCATTTTCCTTTTCCATATTCTCGGGAATTCCTATGATCCTTATGTTCTTACTCCTCATTGAATCCATTATCTCTTGGAGCTTTTCCTCATTTTTTAAAATTCTTAGTTCTCTTTCTTCCTCTGTCTGGCACCATTCAGCCTGTCTATCTTCGATTATGCTAATTTTCTCCTCTATGTTGTCTACATGGGCATTCAGGGAATCCATATTCTGTTTTATCTGGTCCATTGTGTTTTTCATCTCAAGTAATTCTGTTTGATTCTTCTTTATGATTTCAATCTCTTTTGTGAAGTAACTCCAGAACTCAGCTTGTTTCTCTATCTTTCTCTCTACCTCATTGAGTTTTTTGATTATAGCTGCTCTGAACTCATTATCACTTAGTTTACCTAATTCCAAGTCCTCAGGACTTAATTCTATGTTTTTATTGTTTTCCTTCTGGTCTGGGGCTTTTATAAATTGCTGGATGGTAGAGGAGCGTTTTATTCGCATGGTGGTAGAATTCAGTTGCAGTTATGGCCTGTCGCCACTAGATGGGGGTCGAGAGCCGAATGTTATGAGCTCTCCGCCTTGGGGCAAGATGGCTGTGCCCACTGGCTTTTTTGGGGGGGGGGGGCTGTTACTCACACGCGCCAGTCTGGGTTCAGATTAGTTCTGTTCTCTAGTCTCCCAAGGCCCTTGATTCATGGGGTCCCCGCGGACGGAAGCTTTCCCCCCAGCAGCTGGTCTCCACTGAATCAGTGGCAGGAGTCCTGGATGATCCCCTGGTCATGCAGCCCCTCCCCCGCTCCCTCCCGACCCGTGCGGCAGCGATCGCAGACTCTAGGGGAGGGAGCGATGTTCTCTCCTACCGTTCCAGCGCCTCAGAGGGTGTAAGCAAGGTTTATGATCTCCGCCTTCTTGGTATTGTAGGTCTCTAACGAGTTGGCATTATGTTTATTCTCTGAAATTCAGTTCTTCCAATCTTTTGTTGTATTTTGGAGGGGAGAGAATCCTGGGTCAGCTCACCCTGCCATTTTGCTCCGCCCCCTTCCTAAAATGTTTATTTCTTAATATGTTGTTTTTTCACAAACTGATGCTTTTGAAAGAGATAGTTAATTGTTCTCTTTGACTTCTGAGGTCATCCCTGGGGGTGAAGTGGTGATGTGGGTCCACCTTCACATCCAGGGTGCAGATCTGTGTGACCCAAATACTGACACTTCTTTCCGTTTGACGACTTCCCCGTGTCCCCTCCCCCGAGCGATGATGATTCTTTCCAGACATTTATGAATATGAGTTTTTAAACCTTTGATGCCTTTTTCTGAAAATTAAAACATGGAAATCTTCGTGAATATTTCAGGATTTCCTGCTACCCAGATCATTAGCTAATAGAATTCCTCTGGGTTTCGTTGCCCTAGTTCAGATCCTGTAAGGTGAGTGAACGAGATTCCATGCTCCCTTCTGGGGGTTACATTCTCTGTTGACGATGCACGATGCTGTCTTTTAATCACGGGAACAGCTTTAGTGAGATACGGTTCACATACAAGTCACACTCGAAGGCGTGCAATTCAGTTTTTTAGTATATTCACAGAATTGTGCAACATCAGCACAGTCGATTCTGGAAGCTTTCCACCATCCCTCTAAAGAAACACGTTCCTTGTTAGGAGACAGGCCCATTTCCCCCAGCCCCTAAGGCCTAGGCAGACACAAATCCACTTTCTGTTTCTATGGATTGGCCCATTTCGAACATTCTGTATAAATGGAATCACACAGTGTGTGACCTTCTGTGTCTGGCTCCTTGCACTCAGCGTAGTGGTTTCGGGTCCATCTGTGTCATGGCGTGTGTCAGCCCCTCATTGCTTTGATTGCTGAGGAATATCCATTGTGTGGCTGTAGCACGATGTATTTCTCCTTTCCTCAGGGGAGGGACATTTGGGTTGTGCCCACTTTATGGCTTTTATGACTGTGGCTGCTGTGAACATTCCTGCACAAGTTTTTGCGTGGACATCTGCTTTCCTTTCTTTTGGGCGCACACCTGGAAGTGGAACTGCTGGGTCAGATGGTCACTCTCTGTGTCCTTGTTTGGATGCCAGGAGGACCTTCTACAAAGTGCCTGCACCATTTCCCGTTCCTGCAGCAGCGTGTGAGGGTCCCAGTTCCTCCACATCCTCACCCACACTCACCGTCTGTCTTTGATTCTAGCCACGCTGTGGGTGTGAAATGGCTTCTCTCTGTGGCCTTGATCAGTATTTCTCTGACAGCTGATGATGTTGGACATGTTTTCATGTGCTCAATGGCCATTTGTGTATCTTCTTTGGAGAAATGTCTGTTCAGCTCATTGACCTATTTGAAAATTGGGTTATTTGTCTTTTTATAACTGAGTTGCTACTGTCCTTTATATATTCTAGGTATGTTTCTTATCAGATATACTATTTGCAAATTTTTCTCTATATTGTGGATTGTCTTTTTTCATTCTAAATGTTGTACTTTGAATCCCACAACTTTTGCATTTTGCTGATGTCTAATTTATGCACGATAGAGTCTTACTAGATGGAAATGATTCAGACATTAACTTACATCCTCGTCAATATTTTGGTTATCTGAGTTAGAAGCCAGCTGTCAAAGGGTCCGGGAGAGATTTGAATTAGTTCATTTCAAGATTCACTATAGATCCAAAAGAACTCGTTGGGGAAGATATCAAATGTCAAACATTTCTTTATTATCCTTTTACTGCTCATGGGATCAGTAATCATAGCCCCTCTCTCATTTCTGAGATTAGGAATTTGTGTTTCTCTCTGTTTTTCTGAGCTAGCCTGGCTTGAGGTTTATCCATTTTTTAAATCTTTTTTAAGAGCTAGTTTTGGTTTTATTGATTTCTCTATTGATTTCCCTGTTCCAGTGTCATTAATTTCTTTCTTACTTTTGAGGAAGATTACCCTGAGATAACATCTGCTGCCAATCCTCCTCTTTGTTGAGGAAGAGTGGCCCTGAGCTAACATCCATGCCCATCTCCCTCTGCTTTATATGTGGGACGCCTGCCACAGCATGGCTTGATGAGCTGTGCCATGTCCGCATCAGGGATCTGAACTGGTGACCTCCTGCCGAAGCAGAATGTGGAAACTTAACCACTAGGTCACTGGGCTGGCCCGTAAGTGTCATTAATTTCTGTTGTAATTTTTATTATTTCCTCTCTTCTGTTTGCTTTAGGCTTCCTTTGTTCTTCTTTCTCCAGCTTATTGTGTCAGATCTTTTTTTTTTTTTTAAAGATTGGCACCTTGAGCTAACACCTATTGCCAATCTTCTTCTTTTTGGATTTTTCCTTCTTCTCTCCACAGCCCTCCAGTTCATAGTTGTAGATCCTGGTTGTGAGTGCTTCTAGTTGTGGCATGTGGGACACCACCTCAGCATGGCCTGATGAGTGGTGCCATGTCCATGCCCAGGATCTGAACCAGTGAAATTCTGGGCTGCTGAAGTGGAGTTTGCAAACATACCCACTCAGCCACCAGGCTGGCCCCTTTTTTCCTAATATGTGCATTTACTGCCATAAATTCCCCTGCAGGTTCTGCTTTCACTGCATTCCACACATTTTGATTAGTTGTATATTCATTTTCATTTAGTGGAAAATATTTGCATTTTCTCTTGAGATGTCTTTTTTCATCCATGTGTTGTTTAATCTGCAAATATTTTGGGATTTTCCAGCTACTTTTCTGTTTTTGTTTCCTACTTTAATGTACTTTTTGGTCTGAGAACATACTTTATTTGCTTTCTATTGTCCATAGTGACATCTTTCATTAATTGCGCTCAACACTGAATCACTTGCTGCGCTGGAGGGTAACTGTGTGGCCTCTGTCCTCTGAGTCCTGGTCGTTGGTCCCACCACAGTGGCTGGGGTGCCACATGTTCCAGTTGTTCTGTCCACAACGAGGTGAGGCACGTGCACAGAGCATGTGCTGACGTTCAGAAACACACACGATGTCCTTCCCTTTCTAAATGCTCAGAGACGTCTAGTTAATGTTTGGTTTGTAGACTGTCCTGAAATTGTGCTGGGGCCATGGGTCTGCGTTTTCTGGAATCCGTGTGATCCTCTTTGTCCATGTCCGGGCTTCTGGCCCTTCCCTCAAAACTGCCGGGGCTGGGTAATCCATTAGATCCCACAAGCCGGCTTCCTGAGAATAGCAGAGTTCCTGCCAGCTCCTCTCAGGGGCCTGGTCGTCTGGTCCCTCCCAGCACATGCACTGTGTCCTTGTAGTGCCACAGCCTCCAGCGAACACCTGCTGAGCCTCCCCCAGACCGGGCTTGCAAAACTCCACCGTCCCCACCTCACAGAGCTCCTGCACAGACAGCGCAGCCAAGGAGGCCAGTCCTGTGATGGGGGCAGAAGCTGCAGCTGGGAGACCCAGGGAGGAATGTCAGGCGACCCGGGGCCTTGGGAAGCGTTCCTGCAGGGTATGAGGCTGGAGGGGGATCTTGAGGATGTCCAGGCAGAGGGGGCTGTGTGGGCAGAGGCCCTGAGCTGTGTGAGTTGGGACCCTTCCAGGGCTCCCTGCAGTGAGTGGGGTTGTCCCTAGGTTTGGACTGGGCCAGGAACGGGTTGCCACGGATGACAGGGCCTGTGAGCCCCTCTCAGGAGCTGAAGTGGATCCAGTAGCAGCGGAGCCACAGATGGGCTCAGGGGAGGGGGTGCGACCATCTGTGTATTGGGATGGACCACGCGGGCTGCTGGAGGGAGGTGGATGAGGGCAGAGGTGGGGCCCGTGCTGGTCACCATGTGGTCTGGCTGGAGGAGATGGTGGCCCAGCATGGGTAGAGAGGAGTGCCAGACTCAAGACATAGGTAGGGACGGTGAGGCAAAGCAGGTGGCCCCACTCTGTCCCTGCCCACTTCTCACAGTCCCACCACCACAAAGTCCCACCATTTCAGTTGGATTCTCCGAGTCCCCAGCCCTTCCTGCCACCCTGGTGCTGCGTTCCTCCTGCTGCCCCTGAGCCAGGGGCCCTGGGCAGCAGCATCCACCCTCTGCCTGGCAGAGCCATGTCTGTCTCAGTGCCCGACGCTTGAGGGTGCTTCCTCTCTGGGGTCTGGGACTCCCAGAGAGCTTGTCCCCGCTCCTTCCTGGCTGATGCCCAGAACTCTGTGACCCTATGCAGGCACTAATGTCCCTGTTTACAGCAGAACAGGTGGGGAAGGGACTGGCCTGTGGTCCCTTGGCCAGTATGTGGGGTCCCACTTCCCCAGAGGCTCCTCTGAGGAGGATCCCACCCTTTGTGTGCCACACCCAGCACCTCCACCCTGGCATGAACTCACCCTCCCAGAGTCCCTCCACTGTCCCTATTCTGTCGTCTGAATTGGACCAGAGGAGCCGGGCCTCGAGGAGTCACTTCTGCTCCCCTGGGGACAGAGCTGTCAGGAGGGAAGGTCTCACTCTGTCTTGGGAGACAGCGCTGCACCCCTATCTGGCTGGGGGGCTGTTCACCCTCCCCCTCTGACCACCTCCTTTTATCTGCACCCTCCAGCTTTCCCATGTGCCACAAACTCAGGGAACCTGAGGGCTAAGCAGGGGAGGGGTGTGTCACTGGGGACTGCAGGGCTGGGTCACTCAGGGGAGACACCTCCTGGGCCTGGACAGCTCTGCTCTCTCACCACCTCAGCCCTCTCCATCCACTGGGGACCTGCTGGGCTGACGAGAACTGTCTTGAAGGGGAGACGGAGACACACAGCCATGGTCACTGTGGACCCTGTCTTCCAGCGCCTCCACTGGGATGGGGGTTCAGGGGGCTGGGCTGGGACCCTGGGTGTCTCCCCTCTGCAGGCCCGGTGGTGGCTCTGTGTCTCTTCTTTCTGCCAGCAGCCCCCTGCCCACTCCCTTCCCAGGTTCTGTGGGGATTGGAGGCCTGGAGTTTGTCTTGTGTTTTCAAGGCATAAAAATGGGCCAGTGTGTGATCTTCAATGGGACCCACAGGACCTATGAGATCTGGGGCAGGTGCCCCATGGAGAGTGACACTGTGCCTGTGTCAGTGTCCCTGAAACCCAGGGCAGGGTCCCAGGACCAGCACAGCCTGCCCCTTACCTCCCCCCACCTGCAGGAAGCCCATGCTGGTCCAGGCTGAGAACTTCACCCTGTTCATCAAAATCACTGTCGCTTTCAGCAAGTTCAACTCGCCAAGTGAGCATGGTGGGTCCTGGCTGGCCCCAGATCCTCCTTGTCCCCTGCTATTCATGATCCTCCCCCATCCCCAACCCTTCAGGTCCAGTGCCTTGGAGACCTGGGATGCCACCTATTTCAAGCCCTGCCTCTATGACCCACGCTTCAGCCCCTACTGCCCTGTGTTCCACATCGGGGACCTTGTGGCCATGGCTGGTGGGGTCTTTGAGGACCTGGCATTGCAGTGGGTCCGTGGGGGCAGGTTTCTTGGGGGACCGGGGGAGAGGATCCTGGGCCCATGTGCTGGGGGAGCAGTGATGTGCTGTGTGCAGGGCGGTGCTGTGGCATCCACGTCTGCTGAGATGGTGACCTGGATACGGGGGGCCCCGACTGCCAATCTCACGACTCCCTCCAGCTGCAGGAGTGGAGCTCCAACTTCAGGTGTGGCCCCACTGCCCGCCTGCTGCTCCTCAGCCATGTCCTCCCAGACCTGTCCTCCTGTGGTGCCCGGGACAGACCACAGCCTGGCCCATCCCTCTGGATGCTCTTCTGTGTGTGTGAGGGGGTCCCAGGGCAGGAGGGGGTCTCTCAGCTCCAGGTCCCCGAGCACAGTCCGTCCAGCCTCCCTCCTGGGCCTTTTGGCCTCCACCCCATCTGTCCCACACCCTGCTGCAGCTGGGACCCCTAATCCCAACCCCTCCTCCACTCCACCCTGCCTCCAGCACCTCCCTCCATGGCACAGGGGCTTTCTTTTTACTTTTCCCTTAAGGTTTTATCTGAAAATGTACAAGAATCTCTAGAAAACTTCAAAGATTAGTGCCGTGAAAACTCATATAGACTTCATCTGGGTTCACCATGATTATTTTTATTTATTTTTTTCACTATTCTGCCCCATTTGTTTTCTCTCTCCCTCTCTAGAGAGAGCCAGATATATTTAGATGGATTTCACAGGAAACTGTTGGAAAGTAAATGGCAGATATCTGGACACTCACCCCTCTCAACGCTGTCCTGAGAATGAGGACCTTCCCCAGGTGACCGCTGTCCTCTTGTCACACTCAGGAAATTTAACATTGGCAGATAAATCTAATATTTAAATTTCCCCAGCTGTGCCAACAATAATCCTAAATCTTTTATTTTCCAATCCAAGGTGCACTCAAGGCTCTTGTGTTGCATGAATTGTCGTGTCTTTGAGTCTCCTAAGCAGACCTGTCCCATCCTTCTGCCCCCTCATCACCCTCATGCAGACATGCACACAGCCACCAGGCCTGGAGGTGATGCCCATGACACTGCCCTCTGGGCCCTCCTGGCCTGACTTCACTGCCCCCCTAGCTCTATGCAACCATGTGGGGCTGGACCCACCCACGCCCTCTTCCCCTCCCCTCTGTGCTCTCCCCACCCTTGTCTCTCCCTAGAGCTCCTCCCTGAGCCCTGGGAATCCAGCCTGAGGGTCTCCCGGCAGGAAGTCTTCCCTGGCTCCCAGGGGAGAGCACATGCTCCTCTCTGGACCCGTCAGCCCCAGGCTGCCCCACCTCCCACACCCCCAATGCTGGTCTCTGTTTAGGGAGCCTTCTGTCCCCATCCCCTCAGCAGGAAGGGAGCTTCTGAGAGGCAGGTCCCAGCTTGCTTGTCCCCTGTGTCCTCAGCAATGACACAGGGCTGAGACCCAGGACTTGGGCTGGGTTGGATGGAGTCAGTGGATGAGTAAGATGAGGCCTGTGAGGGCCAGGCCAGTCAGGAGTGGGCAGAGCAGCCACTGGACTCTCTCCTGCCCCAGGACAGCTGCTCACTCTGGGAAGGCCTCAGGCGTGGAGGCCCGGAGCCTGCTCAGCTCTACGGGATCTGCTCAACATCCTCATCAGTAGACAGGTAGGGGTCAGGCCAGGACAGGTGTGGGCAGGCAGGGGTGAGGGTTGGGAGGGAGTGACAGCCACAGGCAGAGAGGCTCAGCCTAGGTCTCAGGCAGGGAAGTTCGGGCTCATCCGCACAACCCTCACTCTGGGCACTGGAGCAGCCTGGCTGGGTGTGGTGAGTCTGGCCATCGTGGCTCCTTCTGGCTGCTGGTAAGCATGTACCCCCTGAGAGCCCCCCTGAGAACCTGTGCTGACATTGAGTCTCGGGATGAGGGCTGTTGAGGTGGTGGGAGGGTAGGTTGGGGGCCAGGCTGTGGGTCTGCCCTGCCTCTCCCAGATCACCCCTTTCTGTGACCTGCTGCTGTTGTACTTGGATGGAGAAGCCCATTTCTACTGAGGACCAAGCATGAGGAGGGGGCTGCGGGCCTGACGCTGGCTACACTTTGGAGGGTGGTGGCTGGAGCCCCACCTTGCTGTCCTCATCTGTAGGCAAAGGACCCGAAGAGAACTGCCAGCCCGGAGCAGAGAGGCGGCTTCCCCAACATCCGGCTGCCCAGGTGCCTTAGAGGGGGCCCAGCACCTGCCCCCACTACTGCTGCTGGGAGCAGGACACTGTCACCGGGGGCCTGGCACCCACTTGCTGGCCCATTCCTGAGGCCTGTAGCCTTTCTCTGCTGGCTGGGGGTTGAGGGTTGGGGGTTGGGGGCTGAGAAAGGTCAGTCCCCATGGCTGATGGCTGATGCCCTGGCAGGACCAGGACAGGGGTAGGGGGAGAATTCCACCCTTCAGCTGCCAGACAGCCTGTCCCTCCCCAAGCTCCAGCCTCGGCAGGTGCTGCCTGGGGACCACAGAAGCCAGTTTTGTGTAGAGACTGCAGGGAACAGACGCAGGGCCCTGGTCCAATGGGGCTCCGGTTTGGGCTGGGGCTGCAGATGCTCTCCCAGGCTCCATCTCCAGTGTTCCCAGCAGCTCCCCACTCTCCAGCTGTCCACCACACTGGCTGTTGTTGCCTTGGCCCTGCCTGGCTCCCAGCCCTCCTCCCCCTGCCTGCACCCCCCTCACAGGGAGAGCCCCTGCCCTCTCAGCTGCCCCACACTGGGGTCTGTGCAGCCAGAGTCCCAAGCCAGGGAGAAGGCAGCCTGACAAGAGGAGCTGTGGCAGCTGCTCTGTGCTGTGTTCCCAGGGCAGGGCCCCTCCCAGCTCTGGGTCTCATTCATGGAGTGAGGAGTGTGGTGGCAGATGCTCTGACCCCCTAGGACACCAGGCAAAGGTACAGGCACCTCTTGGGCCCATACCTTCTCAGCTGATGAGCACCAGCACCTTCCTGGTGGCAGCCCTTTGGCTGTGGAGGGCTGGGATGGGGAGCTGGATAGAGGGGTTGTTGGTGGGCATGGGGTCCTTTGGGACCCTCTGTTTGTCTCCTTGGTGACACCAGCCCAATGCCCTGGAATCTGCTCACCAGGCTTCCTGGGATTCATAGGGTGGGGAGGCTGCATATCTGCACACATGTCACTGCTGTCCAAGGTCACACCTGAGAATACGTCTGAACAGCTGCCACCCCAGCCTGAGGCAACTGCCCGAGGACCACGCTCTGACCAAACCCCAGCTGCAGCCCAGGGGCTGGAGGGAATGTTCTTAACAGAGGACATGGAAACCCCAGTAGGCTGGCCTGGTTCTGGCTCTGGAATCCTCCAGGGGCCTGAGTCCTGCCTGCTGGAGAATTTCCCTGTGTCCCGGGCCCACGGTCAGGAGTGGGGAGGGAGAGGGCTGCAGGAGCCAAGCCCTCTCTGGGGCCTGGGGACCCCCAAAGATGGGGCTCCATCGTCACCAGGTGGGCTGAAGGTTCCTGGAGCAGGTCCAGGTGCTTGTGCACCCACCTGCCTGTGTGTGTCCCATCCTGAGCCTTTGTCACAAAGCCCTGAGGGGGCAGCAGGGAGAGAGGCTGCTGGAAGCTGTGGGCAGCCCTGGGCTGGGAAACAGCTGCTGCCTCAGCCTGCACGTCCATGTCGGCGACCGTATGCGCCATGTGGGCCTGTGCCTGAGAGATGCGTGTGCCCGGGCAGGGGGTCTCTCCATCTGGGGCAGGGATCAGGACATGCCCTGCTTTCTGGGAGCCCTGGGAAACCGAGGGAACCCAGAACTGTCCTGCCCTTTCTAAGTGGCCTCCTTGGGGTCCAGGCTCTGCTTTCTATATCTGCCCCCAAGGGACATGTGTGGAGCCTTGGAGGGAGCCTGGCCCCACCCTGTCATGGACCCCCTGTGCCTGGTGTGTGTAGCTCCCCCCTGTGCTGGGCAGAGGGCACTGGCCTGAAGGCAGAATCCCGGGACCCAGATCTGGCCATGTCCCTGACTCAGGGCTGTCCCAGGGCTGGCACCCTCACCTTACAGAACCTCGGCAAATGTGCTGTAGGTTGGAGATAATCATCTACTTCCTGGGGACAGGTAAGGACTCAGGATCACAAAGACCCCCACAGTGGACACAGCAGCAGGCCACATGGCTGGCCGACCTGTTATTATTGTGGGTCCCTGGGGCTCAGGCCTCTTCCCTGCCCGCCCTACTCCACCTGCCCAGGTAGGTGGACTTGGTCATAAACTGGATGGCGCTGGGCAGAGTCCACCACACCAGCAGTGGCCATGGCCCACTCCCACAGGCTCAAAGCTCAGCACCTGGGCTGATGTTCTGAGGACCCCCCGGCATGGCAAGGTGTGAAAACCCGAGCTGCCTCAGATAGAGGGACTGCCAGTTCTTTTGGCCTCCTGAGAAGGTGGGGGAGGGCAGAGAAGCCCCAGTGGTCCTCATGGACTGGTTGGCTCCTCCATGTGGCCAGGCTCTTGGGCCAGTGCCTGGCTGGGGGGCTGCAGGGCTGGCACCATCTTCAGGCTGCTGTGTGTGGCCATCAACCTGGGCCGCTCCTGCTGGTTCTCCTTGCTGTGCCTGATGCCGTAGCCAAAATACACCACGAGTCCTGCAAGGGTGGCACAAGCATGAGGGGCAAGTTGCAGCCCTGCTTACCTGCTTTCCTTCCTCCTGCGGCCCCCCAGGGTCCCAGCCTGGTCGCCACTCACCGATCAACAACCAGATGGAGAAGCCCAGCCAGGTCACGTAGCTCAGGTGCAGCATGAGGAAGATGTTGAGGAGGATGCTCAGGGCGGGGGTTAGGGGCACCATGGGAACCTGAGGGGACAAGGGCAGGGCTGGGCTGCAGGGAAGGGCTGCTGGCCCAGGGCCTGACTTCTCAGGAGTCCACAGAGCCTTTCTCTGCCTCTGGAGATTCTGGAGATAAGGGCCCACCTGCCACGCAGAGAGAGGGGTGTGGGGCACTGGCCTCCCCCGCCCTGTGGCCCTGGTGCATCCTGCCACAGCAGAGGAGGAAGGGGCGAAGGGAGCTGGCTGGGCTGAGCGCAGTGGGTGCTGGCTGGAGGAAGTACCTGAAAGGTGTCCTGCCGGCGCTGTTGCTGGTGGGCCCCCAGGATGAGGAGACTGAGCAGAAACGTGGCGGAGCTGAGCAGGAGCAGCAGGGTGTAGCCCCCGGGCGGGAGGTGCAGGGCCGAGTCCCCGAAGACCAGCACGCAGTCCAGGGTGATGGCCGAGGCCACCAGGACACCGAGGGACCAAACCACGGCGGCTCCAGGTCTGCACCCACCCAGGAAGCGGAGGTAGGGCCTCACGGCTGGTCGCAGCTGCCCGGGCTCAGGGGCTGAGGCCTGCTCTGTGCCCACAGGGCTGCCTGAGCTCTGAGAACTGGATGGAGGGGACTCTCGGAAGCGTAGAGCAATAATGCTGGTGGTCAGGACAGTGAGTTCCAGCATTATTCCGATGGACAGGAACCGGACTAGTGCCTGGAGGTCTAGCAGCAGTGCCAGGAAAGCCATGAGGAACCCAAACACCAGGGTGCTCACCACAGGCACTTGATTCCGGGGGTGCTTGGGGGCAAATACCTGGAAGAAGAGCCCATCGGCAGACATGGCACAGACCATGCGTGGCAGGAACAAGAGGATGTTGAGCAGGAGAGTGATTACGGCTGTGACAGAGGGTGGGAGACTGGTCAGCATGATACACAGGCCCACAGGGGCTGCTGCTGGGGGCCAGGCATGGGTGGTCCCTTGGGCACATGGGCATGAGTTTCTCTGGGCTCTGAGAACAAGTGTGAATGTATGTGGGGTGCAGGATTGCTCCCCCTCACCACCCAGGAATGGGACATCCCAGTTTAGGTGACAGGCCCACTGGAGAATCTGATGAGGGCTGAGTCCTTCCGCCTGGAAGGATCTGGAAGCACATCCCCAGAACTGACATGCTGTGTACAACTGGGAGAGGTGGTAAGTAGGTCCCTCCCAACAAGCCCGGGTGGATAGTCTAATCATTAGCACCTTCCTGGGTCCAGGATGCAATTGAGAGCATAGGCCCAGATGGGGAGATGTGTCCCCTGGAGGCCCCTCCACCCTGTTCCTTCCCACCTTGTCCAGATGGGCCCCTTACCACAGATTGCACCAGCCACCACGATGAAGGCTGCCCAGCTATGGCCCTGCTGGAGGAAGGCATCAGCGAGTGCTGAGTCAGGGTCCAGGCTGTGCCAGGGCACCAAGAGGGTGAGGAC